TGTATATGTTGAGGGTGGGATGGGGGTGTGGGCGAATGAAGATCTTCTTTTTACTCACAACCACATCCATACCCTTTGGTTATCTTTCAACAAGGCCCTGCAGAGCCTTTACAAGATTTCAGACCGATTGCTGCATACCTTTGCAGTATTCAATGTGTAATTTAAACCGGCACGAGCTCAACTTCTATGGGATCCATTCCTTGACAGATTAAAACCGGCCAAAAACGTGGTTTTAGTCAAAGTCATGATTTTGTGGTAGGTTATCTGAACGATAGGAACTATCTAGAGAGCTAAATTCTTTACTAGAATAATTACTCAATGAATTCTCTCTTTAGCCAAAATTTCAGTTCTATAATATAATTTGTTCATGAGATATGTATATGCACAATACACCAAAAAAATAACCATTTTGCTGTGTATCTGATAGTACGAATCAACTCGTCAACAGTTCATTTATTGGAACTCATTTTTTTATGATGAATACATCTACTTGAGATATATACACAGTAAAAATGTCAAGCCAAACCAATTTATTGTTAGTGATATACGACTATCACACAAAATCACAAAAACTGTGCTTGCTTGAGAGTAGTGCCTTCAATAAAATTTAAATATCTCGAGAATGGAACAATATTTTTTGGAACACCTTGCATCAAAAGTCTTCTCTCTATAGCATCTCAATTTAAACTAAACCTGATGACCTCATTAGGAAAGCTTCGTCGTGGCTCTTATGGACTGGCTCATATGAATTTAAGAAGATGAGATGTTTCATATTTCTTTGTTCCGCATTTTGTGAGATCAAAAAAGCAAGAACTGTGTAGTCCTAGTCACAAAATTGTTAAATGAACTGCATTTTGAGGATATTCTTAAACGAAAACGCTCATGGTCACGAGCGCTCATTAGCGCTTATTTGAGAATGAGCGTGAGCTGTACAATCCTATTAGTGAGTATGTTGTATAAATGAAATAATCATCTAATCTATGTGTTGAGAAAATCACAGTCTGTTATAGCCGCAATCAAATGATATATATAATCAACAAATACAATTGATACGTTGGTGCATTTAGATCGACAGGTTCATTTTGTTTCTAAAAGATCCTATTTCCTGTGATTTATACAAAGACGATATAGTTTATCATCTTTAATATGTATCTGTTTATTAATAAAATTTTAAAAACTAATTCTACAGATAATCTCAGGCTAACATGGCCTACACAACTCTGAAAGTTTCATGCGATTCGGAAAGACTTTTGAATGTTTTATTTGAGATCCCATGCTAATACCTACCTGATAATCATTAGCAAGAGTAACTGAAGAGAGACCAAATGCCAAAAACCATTGAATTCCACAACGAATCAATGCCCATAGGTTTTTCTTGAATAACAATACTCGTGGATAAACTATTCGACAAAGTTGATTTAATGATACAACAGCAAGTGCATTGACGGCTACACAAACAGCTGAATACCGAGCATAGACTGAAAATGGACAAATCGTTTTAGAGTTATCGATATAGAAGATATCGAATAAACCAAATATCAAAGTAATAATGCATAAATATAGATTGGCACAAAGAACATGGGCCACAAACAAATTTGATGTTATACAAAAACGTTTGATAAGAATAATTGATAAAAGATAAGGAATTGTAACAATTATACCAATGACGTCTGCACTCAGTTGAATAGTTTTCAGAATAGTAGCAGCTGTATTGAATACCATTTTTATATGTGAAGTTGTTAATCTATGTTTTGTTGTGATATTAGAAAACAAGATTAACAACGGAGATAATGCAGTAAATGCCAATCTCCAGTTAAATACAAAGGAAAAAGAATCATCCAGCGTATTGATATTTGAAATGTCAGAGATATTTTGTCAAACAATATTTTACACAATTAATCGTCTGAATAGATTTGACAAGCATAGAAATACTGACGTTCATACTCTTTCACACATGTACTTCTGTTATTTTCCTTTCAACAAACAGTCAAAATGATATTCATCGAAGCAGATTACCATGAATTATGACAACTATGGTGAATCTTCTTTTCTAGCCAAATATTATATGTTCAGTAGTAACTGTTCACTGTAACATAAACGACTAGGAAAAAAATAGCTACAGTTCGTTTTTTAAGGATATTTAAATTATAATTCTATATTTTTACAAAAAAAAAGAATTCCATTTTCTGATTCTGATAGCGCTCGGAGTTACCCATTAGCCTGTAAATTTATCTCTTGATTTGCATTTATTTGCCGACAAATGTTTTGACCATGGTTAAATATTAAGCTAAGTTTCAGATTTGAAGAATTATAGAATATCGCTGATGAGAGAATGAAAATACGTTTAACAATATCCGAAATATTTGTCAGAAAATTCCTACAAGTCAACATATAAATATAAAGAGTGATAGAGAATTCCAAGCACTATCAGAATACGAGAATATTCTGAGTATGGATCTTCTCTTCAAAGAAACGCACATTCAAACATTTTCTGTTACAGTTTCTCATTTCACATTTCGATGTTAGTACGGTGCGTGGGCGTGAGTGTACGTAAATCAATTGAAATCAGACCGACCTACGTCTTGTCGAAAATTAAATAACAACAAAATAATAATAATTAAATGTACTTGAATCAACATAATTTAGAAGAAATGCAGAGTTAACTTCGTCGACGTGTTTCGTATTATATATTTAAAATTTAAACACTCATTAGGACTCTGCATTATAATTTATAAGCACGAAAACCAAAACGTAAAAAACAAAAAAATGAAAAGAAAGAATAAAGGACATTTAGAAAAATGATAGAATGAAAAAGAAACGGGGGATTAATATAAAACCATTGTCGAATTCTTTCTAGGTACCAACGGAATATTGTCTGAATTCACTGTATATTTTGTGATGACATTCTCTTTTTGTCAGTAAATATAATGGATCGATGAAATATAAATTCGGACGAAATGAATCACATTAAATTGGATAAATAGAAGAGCGAATTGGATATTTTTAGTGTAGTGTGCGTACTGGTGTGAGTCTCCATTTGGACGTGACTCCATTCTTTACCCACACTCCTCAAATCAGAGTGTTGTTGATCTACTTACGAGTTTAATCAAAAATAATCGAATCAATGATATCGTATTTTTTTATCATGATACTATCAACAAATGAAGCATTTCTTTGATACGCCAGACAATATTCAAACGATTATTCATGTAATTCTGGCAAGTTGAGAAGGTAGACAAGTATTTTAATACAGTTATTAATCAAAAATTATTGGAGTCTTTTTTGAGAAATACCAAGTCGATATTTTTCTTCTTGGACAAAGAAGAAAGTAAATTTCTTAAAAACTTATTCGACATCGATCCATCACTGAAACATATATTGAATGAAGATGGAAATGACCCAATATTATATGTTTCTCTCAAAGTTGACAGATGTCGATATTCAATAATTAGATATCTTACTCAAATCAGGTGTAATCAACGGATACAAAACATCAATGGTCAAACATTCATCAATGCTTTACAATTAGAAAAAAAAATAGAAGAGCATTAAAATGTTTGAAGACCGAAGAAATAATCACAATACAACTGAATCTACAACAAATGATAATCTCCGTAGTCACTCATTACCATAGTGATTTGTGTTATCAATAATGTGTACATTTACTAACAACTAACTAAATGTATTTGTAAAACTTCCTGAAAAAGCAATTTCAAAAGTTTTGTTTCTACGCTAATATTGGGTTTTTTTACCGTTCAATATGTTTCAAACATGGACGGAGATAAGCTCTGATAAAAGTAGATGGCCCTAGCACATGAAGCTACTGAATATCTGTCTGACGAAGAATTTTTCTTAGTAGAAATTATAGTCATGTTTGCTTCACCTTTGGTGTGTTCGTATGTCCGTACGATGGACAGAGCTAACTCGAGGAGATCAGCATTAGGAATATGTCAACCACTTTTGAATCCAAAGCAAAAGGCTGACAGTTACGAGATTGATGAGGGCGTCAGTGGGCGCATGGATGAGAGTGATATATGAGTATGTATGTTGTGACCTCAATGATCCATATTCACACCCACACCCTAGGTGCGTCCTTCACCAACGTGCACACGCACACGTCAAAGAAACTCTACTTGAAGACCAAAGTTTGTAAATTTAACCTGATAGATTTAAAATTAGAAATGATTACATGATTTATTTTAGTTGTGAGATCGATCACACGGTTTTTACGTCGCATCTCTTTCTCAAAGAAAACAGTAACAATGTTCAATTGCTTCTATGAATTCGTGCAGTTTGAATACATAGATTATTCATGAGCTCTAACGTTTGATCGGAAGATCCGAATCTTTTATCAGAACTTTCGGCTTAACCCGAAATTCTGATGATTTTCCAGATCGAACCAAAAGTCCTTAGGGAGATATTATTTTTAAGGTGTGAATCTCCTCTAGATCAGGAGAAGCAATTATAACATGGAAGGCATCTGCACCTTGTACATTATGTCGCTCTGCTCAGTACTACAATATCAAGCACTGACTAGAAAATTGTAAAGTTTTTTTAAAGGATCAATGATATGAAGTTAGGCACGAGCTGAAATACCTGTAACCCATTTGATCCATGTGAATGCTCAACAAGGACATTTGTAGATATTAGTGTGAGTGTAAGAGTGCAAAAGATCTTCATCCCTCTCTAGTGTTACATTAATGTTTTGCCATTAACGCCTAATGTATTTAGTCTTGTTTGAAAATCATTTATTGAAAAGAAAAATATCCGTATTACAGTAGAGTAAAAATAATATGAAAATTTCAATTAAATTTTGCTTTTTAGTGTGATTGATCATATGTGGTGTATTCTAATCCTCATCAGCATAGTAACTAGTGTATTTGTAATCATGACATTTTTTCATATGAGCTTGATGGTGATAAGATTGAGCAGCAGTTTTTTCGCTTACTGCTTGCTCTTTCAATCGTCTTTGCATGTTTTCTGCCATTCGAAGTAACATTGCAATCATACGTCTCTCATCGTCTAAATGTTGCACTTGTCTAAGAAGATTAATTTGCTCATCAATTAGTGCAATAGCTTCATCTCTCCTGTGATGGTTTATTAATTCAAATATTCTATCATCCATTTCTGCTGCAACTTGAACAGCATGCAAAGTTCTTACTTTTGGATCGATTTCTTTGACGAGTGATTCATCACCGACAAACGTAAGTGGCAGTTTACCAGTAACAATTAATGGTTCTCCTTGAACATCATCAGGACGATTGTACTTCAATTGATAATCGAGAACATCTAGTTCTGTACCATCAGGTACTGTTGCAGAAACTGTAAAATCACAAAGAATAACACGAACGTTATCCACATGAAGATCGCCAAGATTTGCACCAAGAGCAATGTTTTCATGACCCCATATTTTCGTAACGATTGCATTGTTGAGACCACGAATAATTAACTGAGCTTGTGTTCCGCAAACATCAAAAACACTTTGAAGTGCATTGGTAATCAATGTAACAATAACTTCGGCTGATTCAAGGAAAAAGAATTGACCGTGTCCAGCTTCAGCTATACCTTTCATAATTCCTGCATCAAAATCTTCGCCAACACCAAATGAATCGATTATAATGCCTTTTTCGTTATATTTCGTCACTACTTTCATTATTTCTTCCTTTGTTTTTACTCCAACATTAGCCAATCCATCTGATAAGACAAACATACGTTTAGAATATCCAGGATGTTCATATCTTGCAAGAAGATTGGCACCTGTTTCAATACCGCCAGACAAGTTAGTAGAACCACCAGTTTTAATTGCTTCGACAGTTGAATAAAGTGCTTGACGAGCTGATGCAGGAGCATCTTCAAAAACGATCGACACGTTATTATCATAAGCCACGAGATGCACAATATCATCGTCATGAAGCAAATTAAGTACGGATATAACAGCTTTCTTTGCAAATTCTAATTTATTGTGATTTGCCATTGAACCACTGCGATCAAGTACTAATACGAGATTAATTGGATTTCGTTTCGTTGGTTCAGCATTTTCTTCATTTTTCTTTGTCTCAATCTCGAATCGAGCTCTCTTGTGATTCACTACACCAATGATTGCATAACGATTATCCGGAATACAACAAATATTCACTGAAGCCAGTGTATCAGTAGTCATTTTTTAATATTTCTTTGTTCAATCTGTATTAATAAGAAAAGATCGTTTTAAGTAAGTTACATTTAGAATTACGAAAAAATAAATTTCCTTATCAAGAAACAATTTCAGTATGGCATACTAATACTTTCACAAGCAGACGTAGAAATTTAAAAGGAAAATTTATTATGAGACCAAATGTGCAGCTAGTAGAAAAATAGACCGAAACATTTCTTCGCAATTACAAGCGAATTTCTATCTATAGTTCAACACTATTGAGTTCCCATGAGGCTGTGTTCAGGTAGTTTCGACAATCACGATCATCTTTTACACCATACAATGTTCTTGAAAAATTTCTTTCCATTAATCCTTTGAGCATATCTGAGTGTTTAAACATGACGATATAAGATCTTACCTTTTAAAATATTGATAATTTCAGAAGCCTGAGAGGAATTTTAAAAAAATATGAAGTGATTTTAGTAAATACAGACATGCCTATACATGATTTGTATTGATATATGAAGAGTGAAACTTTATCCAGTCAAATATTGGAAATTTCTTTCATTACCGGGAAATTACCAGGCTTACGGACATTTTCATAGTGTATGTAGTTTTATTGCGTTCAGATTACGACATCAGTCAAAAAGAACTGAAAACCCTACTCTCGAAAGCGATGATAATTTCGAGAAAATGTCGATAATTAATAGGAAATTATAGCATTAATATTCTATGCTGGAAGTCTTACGGGATTATCAGGATTTATTCCTGATGATTCAATTAAGGAACTGCAAAACAGGCTCGGTCTCGATGAGACTAAAAATAGCTTCAACCGGGATCCGGAACCAACAAGAGTTTTTTTTTTACTAAGTCTCGCAAAAATTTCTACATTAAATATCTATTTATCCTTACACTTTAACTAACAATCGAACCATTTTTATTTGAAATATATTAGGATACAGTGAGAATATCAAGAAACAAAGATTAAAAACTTCAAGATATATAAAAAAAAATCTATCTACAATAAACAATCAATTCATCAGTGTGGAGTCTAATTTTTACTAAAACACAATGCCAACCGGAACTAGATCCTGGGCCGGGATCAAAAAAATTTGATCTCACGGTTTCTCTATTTGTATTCGACTGCATCTTTCTGTCACAGGAAATTCAGTTTTATTTTTATTTTTTCTCTCTGATCACACATGAGATTTTCGTTTTTCTATTTTTCCTATCCTGTTATTTATCATGGACATTTCCATCACATTTACTTATATATGCGAAGCGTAATTTCACAATAAATGACAGTCCGATTAGGCAATCATCTTCTTCGACCTTCATATTTAACTTCTTAAGGGATTCAGATTCTTAACACTGTTAAATATGGGTTTTTAGATAGGTTTACGACGAAAAAATGTCTTATGGTATCGTAAAAATTATTCTGCGACATGCTCAACCTTAGAATACAAGTTTAACTTGGTGAAAGAAGACTGATTTCATTCTTGCGACATTATTCTTATCAATGATGCAACGCCAAAATTTTAGTTACTATTTTAATATTATTTCATTTTCGTTTCTTTGGACATGGCGCCCCTAGATAAACTGTGACAAATACTTTACCCATATAGTTTTTAAAAGGACAGGGGCGCATAAGAACGTGATTTGGCCCATAGCACTTTTCAAACAGAACTCATCACAATCATACATAGGATGGAAGAACTTTTCACGACGAATACTTTGATACTCGATTCGATC